AATAAATGGTAATTCTGGATACCCTGACCATTAGCAGCCCCAAAGTGATCAGTGAAAAGGAGACTGATGCACGGAAAAAGAAGGGGCCCCTTTCCTCCACTCTACTCTCCTTGCCAAAACGATCTCCTCTTCCCCTATAATTTGTAACCACCTGCTCAGCAGTCCTCCTCTGCTTTTGTGCTTGTTCTGCCTTCCCACACTGGCTCCTCCTGCCTTGGCTCCTGGTTTGCAGATACAAACTTCCTTAATACTGCCTGAAAGATGTATCACCAGAAAGATGCACCCTGGAAAATACTGGTTTAAGGCATTGATTAGGACAAGCAGATCTCATCCAGATTTAGGGTGTTTTAAAACAAGTCACAAGCTTCAAGACACCGTGGATAAATATTACTTGTCCACTTATTTTGAAAAAGTTATTCTTTTACAACCTGAGTCAAGAACCTGAATTGAGGATCACTGTAAGTGATCTGGCCCACAAGCTGACTCAAACCATCTTTTTTCTAGTTTGAAACCAAGTATATTACTTGGATTATCAGAATTTTGACTAAGTTCTTTCTTCACAGATGTCAATTTACTTGTCACCAAATACTCTAAATATAATAGTTTCATCCAAAATTAGAATTCTAGTTTGTCTTTACAGTGAAAAAGGTGGTAACTTTTTTCTAACTGCACACTTGCACAATTTCTTGCAGGATGTAACAAAATCAACCTCATCAAGGTCCGTGTCATTAGACTTCCTTTACACTCTAAGAAACAGATTTAACTGATTAGAACACTGTGTCAGTTTTATCTCAATTTTTGCTGTGTCCCTTTTTTAAAGTAATAAGAGAATGAAAGCATCTCAGGGGCAGAATAATTTTATCTACCAATTTAAAACAAAACAAAGTATCTAACCCTTAGTGGCAAAATCTAGGAAAGGATCAGCAGCTGCACTGAGCTCATGGTGAAAGACTGCCTGGAAAGACCTGACTGAGAAAATCACAAGGTCTATCCTAATTGTGACCAATTATACAGGAATTCCTTCTCCTTAGAAGGATCATACCCAGTTAGACTGAGAATAAAGGTATGGAAAACAGTTCCTACCTTTCCAATTTAGTTTGTTTTGTTTTTTCCAGAATCTGGCTCTCTGTACATTTGCATTATGGAGCATTTACTGCTATGTGCATTCAGCTGACTGTTAAAAAACCCCTTTGCTTATTGCAAAATGATGATTTTCTTACTGAAAGCAATAAATTGGCAGAGAGCTCACAGTTTGCTTTGCCACTGGAGTTTGCAAAGACAGGCCTCATAATAACCTTCAGAGGAGTGTGATCTCTACCAATGTTGTTGACAAATCAAAACTACTCTTGTTCTCCTTCCAGCAGTTCATAACCTTTATAGGCTATTCAGAATCTAAGAGTTTACAAGCTGGTCAGAATTAGATATCATGTCAGTCTTCTCTGTTTTAACTCTAGCAGGTTGTGATGGGTTCTATTTTTTTAACTTAAACTTTCTAACAAGATATATAAAAGAGATTACCATCAAAATAACTGATTATGACAGCATTCAACTTTTTAGCCACCTAGATCTCCAGGTGTGAGCAATTTGCTCAGTGTTTCAGGATGCTTATTCAGCCTCACCATCATCATTGTTTTCTTTCTCACCTTGGTAAATGTGTCCACTGACCAATTTTGAACCTACAGTTTTTAACAGAAGGTGTTTTTCTTACAAAAATATAGGAAACTTATTCTGACTTCTCCCTTTCAATAACAAGAATTAAGAAATTATCATCTTGAGAATAATGTTCACAGGTACAAAACACCTGAGGGAAAAAAACTTCCAACAAAAGAGCCTTCTGTAAAAGGCACATTAAACACACCATTGAAGGAAAAGTTTCAATGCCTAAGAAAATTCTGAGTGGAGCACATATTCAGTTCCTCAGATAAAAGAAAACCTGCATGTGATTTTTAGTGTTGGCTGAATAGAAATTCTTGATTGATACCTTTCAGAAACACAACTGATTCACACTGTGCACAGAGAGGGCACACATTCAAACACATTAACTACTGAAAGAAACTGCTGGAAAAGAGAGTCACTAGTACCCTTCAAGTGGTACTCACACCTATGGACTAAAGAAAGGCAGAGAAAAGAACACTTTCATGCAGATCCAGATGGTGTAAAGATATACTGAAGAAGGATGAACTGATAATTAAACTATTAAGAGGCACTGAAAGAACAAAAGTTTTTAGGCAGTAGTTATAGAGATATTGATAATCAGGGAGGGAAAGTATATACTTCTGAAGAAGCTGCGGGGCCAATGAAAAAATATTTCTTCCAGAAGCAGGAAGTAAACATGGATGTGTGTGAGCTTTAGAAGAGAAGATCAACAGTGCAAAAACTTTTTCCATACCTGATGTTTTACACTAATTAACTGAAAGAGCAATGGAACTGATCTGAAAAGATGTGATACCTAACAATGAAAATAAATATATCAAAACCAAAGTATGGCAATGACTGGCACTACAGTATTTTAAGAAGAATGACTGTTCACATGCTTGTCAAAATGCCAAGCAGAAGTGCTAGCACCTGCACATGTCCGTATATTAGGAATTGAACCAAGAATGCCAACACAAGCCACAGATGTTTTTTCAAACATTGAGTTCCTACTTTTTCAGGAAAATAGCAAAATCTGTAATACCAAAGGTTTAATGACTGGCTACTACATTTACAACAGACAGCTATATTCATCATCACTAATAGCTTAGCTACTATTTGCTTCAAAAAGGCTGCACAAATTACATGCCTTCTACCTTAGTTGTGATTTTATTGTGCTTCACAAAATTTTTCATCCAGTATTTTACACATTTGTTTAGGCAGATTGATATATTGATTAATGTGGTGATACTCATCTAATCACACCACCTAACTAGGTGTCTAAAATTCTACCTAAATATCTTCCAAAGAAAAGGCAAAACAGCTAATTTAAACAGTGGTTTGCACATTCAGTGTTTATGACAGGAACCTCACATGACTGGTTGATAGTGGCAAGTTAGAAGGTGTAGTTCAGCTGATGACAGCAGTGATGGATGGCCTTGAAGGAATTCTTGTTTGCTCATCAGATCAAGCACTGGACAGCATGTGAAAGAGGGGATGAGCCTCAAACCAAATTCATATTTCTATCTCTGTGCAGAATGAGAGAGGAAAAAAGTGTACCATGAAGCATCACCTGAAGCTGTTAAGTAAAAAACTACTTCAGCAAGTTTTGTAAAGTAAATTTGATGGTTTGGTATGCTATCAATTTTCACTTAAACCTACTCAAGGATTCAGTAGTAAGTAGTCAGATTATGTAAGAAACCATCTCTGAACATTGGAATTAGTGTTGGTGGATAAGGGAAGGGCAACCTATGTCATCTATTTGGACTTGTGCAAAGTTTTCAATGCTGTCCTGAGCAACATCCTGATCTCCAAGTTGGAGAGACACAGATTTGACAGATGGACTACTCAGCGGATAAGGAATTGGCTGGGGGGCTACACTCAAAGAGTTGCAGTCAACAGCTTGATGTCCAAGTGGAGATTGGTGACAAGTGGTATTCCTTAGGGATCAGTAATGGGACCAGTGCTGTTCACCATCTCTGTCAGTGACAAGGTCAGTGGAATCTATGTATTTGGTTTCTGTTTACTGCATGACATATCCTGTTTGTTTTGTCCCTTTTCTTACACACTTTTAGAAGTAATGCAACAATTAAAACCATAGGAGCAGAAAGGATAACCAGAACTACACTCAGGAAATTCAAAGAACAGAAAAGTCACTGTGATTGATACGCAAAAAAGCTTTGAGTTGAAGGAAAACAATGGTAGCTTTAAAGTCATGTATGCTTATATTAGAGATACCTTAATATCTAAACAAACAAACATACAATTTAAAATTAGGCAAGAAATAAAAATAACTCCCTTGAAATGAAAACTTAACACAAAATGTAGAAAGGCTGTAGTTGGAAGAGAAATTAAAGAGGAAGCTAAGTTCCTTAAAAAATCTGCAGCTTTCTGGTCTATTCAACAATTACTAGCTTTTCTGTCAACAGTTTCTCACTTTAAATTCCTAAAATGTTAGTATTTTCTGCACTGAGATCTTGCTGCATAGAGTCAAAGTTGTCTTTGAAACAAGTGTTTTCAGCCCACTGTTCTCTCTCAAATTTCCAGTCTCCATGGAGAAGCAAAAATACTCTCTGGTGAAGATCTGTGCTAAGTAAGTTAATTTATCCTTTAAAGATTTTCTAAATGTTCAGATTCTAAAATCATGTTAGAAATTAAGCATACACAAAGGAATGTATGTTACCAACATGATGTGAGTTAGTGGGAATTTATAACCTACAAACCACTGAGATTAAAATATCAGCATGGGTTGTTATAAACCCACTGAGGAATAGTGGATAAACAGAGGAATAAATACGACTCAATTCATGCTGCCATATTCTTTGTTAAAATAACAAAATATTCCAAGTTACTCTAGTTACATGAAGGCATAGAAGACAACAGACAATGGATAACTTCCCATTCCTACTGTGACTATGTCCCTTTTGTAAAACACCACACCATCCTAGTTTCATGAAATAGATTATTCACTTTATAATGAACTGTTTCTCTACCACAGTATCTGGAATGGTACTTTCTCAGCATCTCATTTTGCCCTGAACCAAAGGGCCCTGCAAGAGTTATTTATAAATCTTTTACAGATTTTCAGGAGACCCTCATGGGGCAGTACTTTCATGTTTGATAACTTCATGTCTCATTTATTTAGATTTTTCACCATCTTCGTTTATGAATTTTAGAGTTTGTTCTGTCTTCAAAGCAATATCAGTATTTAAAACATCCAAGAAATAATGAGCACATTAGCTTAATTACTTCTTATTGACTTGATAAGTCACCATGCTTTAATGCAAAATCTGCCATGACAATTAATGGCTGCAATCAGGCATTCATTTTACATTAAGTATTCAATAAAATTTTATACTACATCTTACAGTAACTCAGTGGAGAAGTCTTGTCCTACTGGCACAAAAATCTGAAGTGTCAGAAATTGCTGGATCAGTCCCACTAGAAACAGAAAAAAAATGTGCTGTGTGTGGTGATGCACAATTCACCATCAAGCATTCAAATTGTGTACCATTCAGCTATATTACTTCAACACTATTTCCCAAGGCTCACACAACATATGAACGTGAGAAAGACCTAAAGAAAAACAATTCAAACTGCAACAGAAGTGTTGTTGTAAAAGTCCCATCTGTGTCTGGTGGAATTCTCATGAAAATAACCCCCCCTTTTTTTTTTTTTTTTTACTTACAGTTCTACAGGGTGTTTGAGGAGACATCAAATATCCAACATTATGAAATACACCATATATCCTATAATGAAATCAAGTAATACTCTCCTATCAAGATTATCTTATAGCCATAGGAATCCTTGACGTTTGTGACAATGGACACCTTAACATCAGAAAAACCTTGAGTGAAAATGCAGTCCAGATCTTGACAACAATGCTTGGTGGAGGCTTCTGATTTTTAGAAAAATAGCAAAGGAGCTTAACTGAGGGAGCAAACAAGACACCTTTAAGAATTCAGGTAGCTCCCTATCAAGTGAAAACAGTACAAAACTGTCTGAACTGAACTGTATGCTGTTTTCTTATTTACTCCATCAAGGAGCTATGGGCTGCTCCTCGTTGACTTAAGACTCAACAGCAACATTAACTCCTCTTCTAAAGAATATCAGTTCAGAACTTCCTTCTTTTGTGTTCAAATGACACTTTAAAATTTCAAATTATATTTGTACATATAACATCTTATATTAGAGAAGTACTTCAAAAATTACAGCACAACTGGGAGATTGTATACTCACCATAAATTAAATACTTGAGGTACATACACCTCAAGAGAAGAGGACAGAATGGTAAGCCATGGAAATTTAACTATAGCATTGCAGCAATAGCTAAAGTAAATTTTAAACCAAACTATTCTCGGCAATGATAATCCACAGCATCAATTCTCAGTCCTCATTTTAGGCTGTAATAGTTTATTGTAACATCAGCAATAAATAAATTTAAGACAGATTTTTTAGAGAGATACATTAGTCTATTATTTATTATAGTGAAGATAACAGTACATTTCTTGTATAAGCAGATTCTTGTAAAAGATTATCAAGGCCTTAGTGTATCACCAGCCTATACAATTTCTTAATTTGTGTTTGTTTAGAACTAATTTGCAATTATGTACCCTGCATCAGAAGTATACTAGAAGATTCTTGTTTCATTTGACTAAAATTACCATCTTAATTTTTCTTCCAGAGCAACCAGTTAATTCTAAACCAGCTTGATTCATTACTACAAGCCTTACAAAGTACAATAACCTGCAGTGGGGTTTAAGGTACAAATTATGATTGTTGTATGCCCTGAGAAACAGACTGCTCTGGTTCTGGTTTATTGTGGTGCAAGTAATAGACAAGGGGGGAAACACTCCACACAGCTAAAATCTGGGTATAGCTTCCTTGTATTGCCAAGTGCTTATTTGATACATAGAAGTAAAAATACTTAAAGTAAAAGGAGAAAGGGGACAGGAACTTATTTTAAATTCTATAATGCCAGTAGAATTATTGACTTTAGTATGTAGTGAATGGAATCAGAAGTTATTGTCCAGACATCAGTGTGTAGCAGTATCAGGTACAGAAGGGAACCCAGCACCATTAGGACAAAATCTATCAGCAAGGATCTTCCCTGCAGCACTCCAGTGTGGCACTTCTGTACCTTTTACGTATTTGTAACTGACCTGCTAAAAAGTTCATGAAAAAAATCACTTTGCTAGTGCTTAATTACATGCAAAGGGAGAATAGTGTCAAGTGTACATTCTGATATAAGACAGATTTAATCATCAGAACATCATCACAAGCATTTAATTCTTTGGTACCTACAAGTCTGTCTAGTTTCCTTTGGTAGCTGCATTTTGTTGATTTGACTGCTTCCTTCCAGTACAAAAACAAAGCCTTTTACTTCTTTATCATATTCCTACAAAAAGGAGCAATAAACAAACATAAGCATCCTAACAGAATTATTCTCCTCGTGACCAACAATGCTACTAATGTGCAAAGCTACTTTTTTTAAAGCACAAATGGCAGACAGCACTGCAAATATAACAGTAGGTCAAATACGATAGTATTAATATTAAACAACAAATAATACTGACAGAGGACTCGTGATCCAGTGGGCCAAACTCAATCCATTAGCTATCAGAATAGCAAAATTACTAAGTATTTAAGCTATTAAATTACATTGTAACCAGCCTAGTCCGTGAGCAGGCATAATGAACTAATTTAAGTAGTCACTTAGTCTGTCATAATGACAGAACTGGAAGTGACAACTCCACTATCAGGTCAAAGACCTTGTTACCTTCTAATCTGAATCTTCATTCATGTTTTTCTTTTTCACACTCTAGGGTTTTTAAGTTCTTTTAAAAACTTACTTTCCATATAGCTGATGGATTGCCCAAAATCTTCCATTTTGCTCCTGGGTTCTTGCCTTGAGCACTGAATATTTCAACAAATGGGCCACCCTATGATAAAATGGTTTAAGGAGAAGTCATCTAGATGAATGTTCAGCACTGAATCACCAATGGTCAAGGTGAGTACATGACGACAATCCCTCCTCGCATCAGGCTGTTACCACAGTCAGCATTACTAATCAGTCAGCAGAATATTAGTAACTGCTCCCAGACTACTGTCATATACCAACCCATACAGTCTATATCTAGCTTTACTAGAGAAGCAGAATATAAAATTGAAGGAATACCATGGAATAGTTTTGTTTATAGCATTATCTAAAACCCAAAGTGATTTAGATTTAGATGCAGGAGATTAGTAATTTATATGTGGATATGGTTTATTTCTACAACCCACCAGATGAAATTAGTTTTAAAACATAATGCTGCAGATTGGATGTTTTACCTGATTTCCTATGGAAATGAACCTTACACAATCTTGTCTACATATATGAGTATGTCAAAGACATTTTCCTAGTAAATTTTCTACCAGTTACCTATTCCAGCCTGATTTGATCAGTCTAAAAAACTCAAAAGAATTTACTGCCTTTTCTGGGCTGACTATAGTGGCCTCATAGTAGATGTGATGCTACTAACACCATGATAAAAAGGTAAGGGCTGTACTCATGCTGCAGCCTTCATGAGGCATCAGAGAGTTAGTACTGGAAAAAAATTATGAATGCCTCTGCCAGGTGAAAACTCCTTAAACAGAGCATGTGCCCTATTAGATAGCAGAGTCTAACCATAGGCTCTTGGGGAGGTAGGCTTTAGCATCTCCACTCAGGAAATCAGCTGCTTCAATATTTTTCCCATTTGCTGTCACATTGTTTGTGACATCTGATGTACTCAGCCTGCAGTTTGATAAGCATTTGTTCAGCAGCATGGTTGACCCAATCAGTCACAACTCTGCCACTCCCTTCTCATTCCTCGTCGCCTGCACTCCCCAATTTTATGCTCAGCTGCCCGAAGAACTGGACACAAGTCAGAATGAGCAAGAGGGGTGAGCTGTCTTGCCAGCCAGATAAATACTCTTCAAATTATGCTTCTAGAGAATATCAGCTCTGCACCATATATAAATTAGGTATTTTCCTCTGCCCACCCTCACCTGCTAACCCCAGTGACTACAATTCCTGAGTTGTAAGGAGATTCAAAATGGCATTCCAGGTACTGCACTTGTAAAAGATTTTTTCTATCCTTTATAAATGTTAAATATTTAAATATATGGCATATTATCAGTTTGAGAGTTATCTGACATATTTGAAGACTACAAGATCAAGCTCTTGGAAAGTTTAAAAAAGATTCTTAAGTGTCAAGTTGCATGCAACTTGTAGCAAATCTTAACAAGCGGCTTTTTCTCCTATATTTATAAACACATTTTTTTAATAAGGACTAATCAAGGGCTACAGTAATTTCAGATTAAACAAACTGGACACAGAAAACTACTAAACATGACATGAGAAAATGCTGAACACTGATGTGAGAAGCTGACAGAAGTCACATAGTGCTGTGGAGGATGGCTGTATGTCATGAGTAGCTAAGGCAGGGTTATGCAAGAAGCTGTCAAACTCCACAGTCAAATGGAGTATGTGGCATCTTTTGGGGACCACAATCCTGCAAAGCCAACAGCACCTGGCAATGGTATCAGGAATACCATATAAAACTGAGATAGCCTAGATAACAGCCTCAGAAATACCAATTTTGTGTACAGATGTAGCACATCTGGGACCAGTGGGGAAAAAGTTGTTAGGGGCAAGCTGCTCTCTCAGGAGGGGACTGGTCCAGAGAAAGGGAGGCAAGGTGTGGTGAAAAGGAACATCAGGAAACAGTAAAAGGTACAAAAAGGTATGCAAATGATGTAAATAGTGTTGTCACAACCCTGTGCTGTACCAAGAGAATAAACCAGCTCCCCCTTTTCTGACTATACCTTAAGAGCTGGGCTGGCTTCCCTGACTGGGTGGGAGCAGATGGTGTGCCTTCCCTGGCCCACCAGGGTAAGGACAGACAAAAAGCCATTGGTAACACCACGTTGGTGTGTGTTCTAGACCTGACAGCATCAGCAGCTACCCACTATCTCGTAAGATTTCTGTAAAAATAATAACAAAGCATTCCAAAACATTTCTGTAGCTGGACTTTTTGTCCCCCAAAATAAGTCATTTTAATCCCATAGGTGAAATGAAAAAGGGTAAAAAATAAAACTGTTTTTATTACCTGATAGTGATTTTTGAACATTTTGCAGTTTTCAAAGGCAAAAAAATTCAGCTTCTCAATCAGTAAAGACACACACTACACTGAAAAAAAGAAACAAACACCAAAAACCTTTAGATACAGGATTTGACATGAAAAAATCCTATAATAAAACTCTAATCATATTTTACAAGGTATGAATGCTATTATGAAATAATTTTCATGAGTACAGAATATAAATGAACTGCATCAGAGTCTTGCCACAAAGATACTAATATAAATAAAATTAATATTGACACTGTCTTGGAAAATGTTCTCTTCATGCATCACGTAATCAGGACTGCCTTTCCTTATACTCCAAGTAAAACTAGTAATTTGATGTCAGCCCTTATATTTAACAAGGAAGGCTTTCTAATGCTTTAAAAATAATCTTTGATATACATTTTTTAAAATTATTCTTTGTTATCAAGTGCCCCCTGGAAAACATTAGACTCCATTAAAGAGGAGTTTAACATTTAATATAGAAAAAGAGAAACCTATGGAACAGCTGCAACAGAAACCACTCCATCTAGAGATATTTGGCAGAGACTTCTGAGACAAATTATCTTCTTTCATATTCAGCATTCTTCTTTGGGGATGATTAGTATAATACTCAAACCAAGCACTTCAGCCTGATAAAGTCAATGTAAATTAAGAGATGTCTGCAGTTGGAGAATCAGAACAGTAGAAAGTGAAGGGATTGATGCTGGAAGCCTCCCCCATCCATCTTTGATCATGCCAGAGTGTCTGTAGTTTCACCTGAAGTCAACAGAAAGTGAAAGGACTCTGAACATAAAAGGTAGTTGTCAATCTCCAAAGACAGGTAGAACCAGCCACAAGAGACAATAGGCACCTTCACTGGGAAAATTGAAAGTACTCGTCAACTCACAGGAAAATCCTTTCCCAAGACTCTCTCATTTATTTAGCATACTTTTTTTATGTTCGTTGCTTCAGTTCAGGCACAGTCCACTTAATTAAATGATTTGTAATTAATGTATTATTTTGAGGCTGAAACTTTTTCTCACCAGATAGAAACAACATGCTGCCTAGCAGAACATAAATATAGCTTCTCATAATGAACAGTTTAGCTCTTGTGAACAGAAAGTGACAAAAACATTTAGAAACTTTACAGAAAGATATGACTGCATATGAACTAGAAATTTGGTGACAATATGCATTGCCTCATAAAGAATGTATACATTTAAATGATTAGAGCAGCATTCTATTTTAAAAAGCATGTAATCATTAATGTAGCAAAATGTGATGAAATCTGTTGATTAACCACCATTATTTTAATAGGCAACAATTATTTTTAAGACTTAAAGTTGCCTGTAAATAAAATGAAAATGGAAAAAAAGCCTAGATAGTAGAAGTTATCCAATGCTGTTGCCAGAAACATTAATTGATTTTAAGTTTGATTATAAGGAAAATTAAATTTAGAAACCATAGCATTTGTAACAGGCCTTAATTAATCAAAAACCTTAGTTAGTATTTTGATTGTATTATTTTACTAATGCCACAGCACATCTAAAATACCAGTAGCATTATTCTGCATTTTAGATAACTCTGTACAAATTTCCCACTTGTTCAGTTGGTGCTATTTTTTTTTTTAAGAATGATTATATGACTATCTATATTGAACTATTCTAAATTATGATACAGACATTTTAGAAATGCCTTTTAAAGAAAGCACTTCTAAAGCAAGTGTATTATTTCTTCCTTCTGTATATATTCAGTTTACATACAGAGCAATTGTTTTGGAAATCACTGTTTGTTCACTTTTGTGCCTGCAGCCCTATCTTTGCTGTTTCCTACAATCTTTAACTAAGCCAGAACTACTCAAAATGGCTTGTTTCATGTCTTAGTGAAGTACTGCCACTGTTGAACTAATCCCAGACTGACCTGCTCTCATTCCCTTTGCCAGAGCTAGGTGTGAAGGGCTGGTAGTGCAAAGGAGGCAGAAGTCACACCTCCTGCAGGACGTATTTACCACGAGTGCATTACTGTAACTCACATGGTGAGGCACTTGGCCTAAGGACTTCACCATTCCCCAGTTTTTACCTATTGTTTAAGTGAAGGAGGTGTGAAGGAAGACACTGCTTTTTTTCTTTGGAGCAAAGGCCTTTCACTTGCTTTCACTTTAAAAGCCAGTTCCAGATGTGTCAGTGTCATACACCTAACACAACCCTCACACATCTTGCAGTTCTGTTGCATCTTATTACATCTTAGGCAAAAGTATTAGGACTTAATACATGTGATGGATCCTGATACAAGAGTCACTGTATGAGAAGTATAAAGTTCTGAGATGGAAAAGAATAAATCATCTCTTTCAAAGACTACTACTAATATTTAATCAGAAGTCTTCTGCTGACTGTCATCATATGGTATATTTCAGAACATTTAGTGTGTAGCAGGAAGAGGCCAAGTTTCATTTTCATTACCATGCCACCTTTCAGAGGATGGAAAGGCTGAAGCTATGTAGCAAGGCGGACAGCTACAGTATTTGCAGACACTGCTGTAGTCACAGTTATACATGAGACATTGAAAGTAATATTTGGTTTTCTTCACTGTTTTCTCATGAAGTATACCTGGCTTTTGTAAGAGCCAGCCCTCTCATGGCAAACCATGCAGGCTTTTGAAGGAAGATGCAAACAGCTCTGAGCACAGTGTGAGTGGAATCCATGTTGATATATTGACTTGGGTTCAATACTGTGTAAATACACTTTGCTTCTCAGCAGCACTTATTAGCTTTGGCTTGACATCACTAATTTGTCTCCACACCGTACTGTATGTCCTCAGCTGGCTTGGAGCACAGAAAGAACATACATGTGCTGGTCAAACACCAGGAAAATGCACATCTATATCACAGAAACTTCTGCTACTAATTAATTCTTTTTTAATTTTAGGAAAGGAAGCATGGGTCTGAACTGGAAAGCTGTCATTCAAATAATAAACTTAAGGTAGAAAAGACGATCAAATAATTAAAGACTTTCATAATGGATCACAGCACAGACAGAGATATATATGAAGAGAGAACATTTAGGAAGTGTGGTAGTAAAAAGTAATACAAAAATTGTGGGATGATGAACACATAGTGAAGGACTAGATATCTCATACCATCACTAGAAATCTTCATATTTCAAATTGTCAAATAAAGTTCACTGTTTCAACATGGCTTAAAATTTGTCACCGATGCAGCTGCTTTTAACTGACATAGACATGGGCAAGCCAGGTTATTTACTAACTTGGAGAACATATTTTATACAGACTCAGAATACTGATGACCCTTGTAACTATCATGTTCATAACAAGATGGCTCTTCCTAACTTAAGTGAAAGGCAAACTAGACCCAAAGTTTGTAAACATTTGTGTTGGGACGACTCATTCATACCTCAATGATGACTACTGTAAACAGATTAGTGAAATGTCAGTTTGGTTTTCATAACAGCAAAAAATACCGCAAGTGACACTGCAATACATTTTTCCTCATATATTCCTTACTTGTAACTTCCCAATTTCCATTAAGTTCTGCAATGAAGACTAGAAATGTTTGCTGTCAAGATTGGTAGCTACTAAAACCATTAAGTGAATGACATATTTGTCATGTAAATACTGAGATAATATTAAGAGGTGCTTTCACTATTCATCATGTATTATTTTCTTTAGTTATAGCAACCTATGCTTAAAAAACAAGAATGAGACTGGTCTGGAAAACTGGTAGCTGCAAGTTTTCCCCTTTTCATCTATTTCTCTTCCTAACCTCTCCAAAAACTCTAAAAATCAGGAGTGCTTAATCCAGAGGGACTATTTTACAAAAATCAACAGCATCTTGAAATGTAAGTCCTCAATTTTTTTTGCATTTGTCAAATAAATAGATATTTTATGGCATTTTTATAGCATGCCATCAAGTTGCAGTTCTCTCATTTTTCAGTCACAGATCAAACTTATTTTTTATTGCCCTGAACCATGTACTTTAGTACATCTGTCCAACTGGAAATTCAGGCTTAAAGTGTCAGTCAATGACAAACCATAAAGAATATTGTTAGACAACAATGAAAGATATTTATCTTTTTAAGATTAGATTCCTATCAGGATTTACCATGTGAGGTCTTGATTTGTGCACTGACTTTGATCATTAATTTCACAGTTTTTCCTACACCAAAAATAAAGTAGCAGCAGTCCAAAGGGCCCTCTAAACCTTCCATTTGCACAGACCTCTTAGAATACTGAAAAAAATTTTCCATCATATGACACCTTTTCAATGTATATTTCTTCTTCAAACTAGTATGTTTCAAACTCAAATATTTCTATAATACTTTATGTTTATGTAGCCCCACCATCCAAACAATTGGTTTCTAGTTAGTTATAAGAAAAGAGTATTTCATAAACAGTAAATGCAGACAGACCTTCATGCTTTAAATTATTTAATACTAAGCACTGTTCCAACCCCAAGTGAGACAGGGATGGACAGATTCACACTGTTTTAAAACCTTTCTTGTCATGGTTGGTCCCTTGACTTAAAAGGGTCTATTGACATAAACACACAAACATTTTTCTGATCAACATCCTCAGTGCTGAAAAAGTGGTTTATTTAAGATTTTCTATTCCAAAGTCAAACGCATGATGAAGAAGACAGTGAATTTGCACCTACCACTGATTTGCATTGAAAAATGACACAAATTCACTATTTTTGGCAGGGAACATAGGCTTAGACCCAAGACCTTTAATACATGTAACTCACCATCACTGGCCCAGAGCCAGTGCTGATTTATAGTAGGCTGGGACACACCAGAGAAAGCAGTTCATCACTGGTGAAGGGTTTTAGTATCTTCCTGACAAATGAATTCTACATATTGAATATTTAAAGCTAGGTTTGTAACACTGCTATATATTTTCTCAAAATACAAGTTAACATAATAAATGGGCACAAAGACCATTAATAAACCATGCTAAGACTACTAGCATTCCTAACATGAAAAGCAGCCCAGCCAGCCTTTACATACAAC